TCTGGTTGCAAGATATCTGATAGAACCTTATATCAAATTCGAGATCAGTGTTCAAATTTGCAATATTTAATAATAGCCCGTTGTTATAGATTTTCTAGCAAGACTTTAGGGAAAATTGTAAATCCTAATTTGATCCATTTTAGATTATATGAAAATAAAGAAAATATTGGCATATCAGTGACGAAACTATTAGTAAAATTGTAGCAACATGTCTAAATTTAGTACATCTACATATAAGTTATTGTAAAAAAATTACAGATATATCATTAATTGAAATTGCAAGAAAATGCCAAAGAATAGAGTATATTAATATAGGTGGATATAAAATTTCTGATAAATCATTAAAAGAAATCGCCAATTCTTGTCCAAAACTTCAATATCTTCACCTACTTAATTATAATTATATCTCCAATAGTGAAATAATAGAAATTGCAAGCTCGCATCCTAATTTACTTAGTCTTTCTTTTGAAGGTGAAGGTCCCGAAGGTGGTAAAATTACAAACTTATCTATAAAAAAAATTGCTGAATTATGTCCCAAACTTCAATATTTTAATATATCTGAATGGGAGAATATAACTGACGAATCTATTTGCATATTACTACAATTATGTCCCAATTTGCAAGAACTTATTCTTAAACAATGTAATATTACTGATGCAACTATTAATGCTATTATAAATTTACATCACAATCTTCAGAAATTTAATATCATATATTGCGACCAGGTTTCAAGAAATGCAATTTTAAGTAGTGTTCTACACGGTCCGGTTTCGGGCGGGTATTGTTAAGAACCATACCCAAACCGTTATATGATATCAGGTCCTTATAAAGATCCAGAACTATATTATATAGATCCGGAACCAAACCGTAGAACCGGTATTGAATATAAAACTTAGAACTTTCAATAATATTTGTATTGGATGAGTTCTCACTACTTCTAATTATTACAATAATTAATCACCCATCACTAAATTGAGTAGTGAGAAAAATTAGTAAATCCATATCGGATACACTTCTTAATAAATTAGATAGATTATATCTGCTAAAAATATAATTGAAGTCCGAAGTCTCATTTTTACTTACTAT